GCCCGACATGGGACCCTGATCTCCGGTCCCCAGGATCACGCCCTGGACTGAAGGCGGCGCTAAACTGCTGAGCCACCCGGGGCTGCCCTACCTTGCATTTCCATATGATTTTAAAGACCAACTTGTCAATTTCTGCAAAAACAGCAACTGAGATTTTGTGGGGGAATGTGTTGAATCTGTAGATCAATTGGAGGAGTATTACCATCTTAACAATATTGCCTTCCATCTATGAACATGGAATGTCTTTCCATTTATTTAGGTCTTTGTTGATTTCTTTCATTGATATTTTATAGTTTCCAGTGTACATGTTTTATACTTCTTTTGTTGAACTCATCTTTTTTTTAAGATTCTATTTATTTATTTGAGAGAGAGAGAGAGAGAGAGCAAGAGTGAGCAGGAGTGGGGGGAAGCAGCAGAGGGAGAAGGAGAAGCAGGTTCCTCTGCCTAGCAGGGAGCCTGACTTGGGGCTGATCCCAGGACCCAGGACAAGTGAAGATTTTTGCTCCTCTGTTGTAATAATGCATGAAAAAGGCAATAACAATTAAAACCAAATGGCATTGGCAGCAAGATAGAAATCTCAGTGGAATAGAATACAAAGTTCAGAGTCTGTCTGCAATACATACAAGAATGTATTTGAGAAAACCAATGGCAAAAGGATAGTGATTGGCAATAAGTATTGGGAAGCATGGACTGCTGTTGAGGGAGAGAGGGTTGGATTTTCAAACCATTCACTAAAATAGCATATAGAATAATTTTTTAAAAGATTTATTTATTTATTTATTTATTTATTTATTTATTATTCATTCATTCATTCATTCATTCATTCATGAGAGACACACAGAGAGAGGCAGAGACATAGGCAGTGGGAGAAGCAGGCTCCTTGCAGGGAGCCCAATGCGGGACGTGATGTGGGACTTGATGTGGGACTCAATCCCCAGACCTGGGATCAGGCCCTGAGCCAGAGGAAGATGCTCAACCGCTGAGCTACCCAGGTGTCCCGCATATAGAAGAATTTAAACATAATGAAAGAACAAAGAAGTTAAACAACTTAAAAGCTAAAGAAAATATGAGCAGATATTATTGATCTGTGAGTATGGAAGAATTTAACGATGTTGAAACAATGGAAGAAAGTCAAGGATTTGACAACATAACCTCTTTTGTCAAACTTATTTGCAAAAAATATAAAAGACAAAGTGTTACTCTCTTTTTTTTAACAATATTTATTTATTTATTTGAGAAAGAGAGCAGAGTTGGGGGGTGGGCAGAAGGAGAGAGAGAAGCAGACTCCCTGATGAACAGGGAGCCCTACAATGTGGGGCTGGATCCCAGGACCCTGAGATCATGACCTGAGCTGAGGCAGACACTTAACTGACTGAGCCACCCCTGGCACCCAAGACAAAGTGTTATTCTTACTTGGAAAGCAATAGTATAAATTAATAAGAAATTAAGACTTCAAAGACAAATGAGCATAGAAGATAGATAATTTGGAGAATAGACAATTCAGTAAAAGGAAATATAAATGACTAGTAATTGAAGAAAAAAATTCAATCTCATTGGCAATCAGAGAATGCAAAAGAAACATGGATGTACAAGTTTGCTTTCAGCAAAGATTTCTAAGGTTATAATATTCGTTACTGCTTAGTGTGTGTTGAGATAGCTCTCATATTAACCGTATGAGCTGACTTCTATATTAGGCCCATTTTATAGATGTGGAAACTGAGATTCAGTGGGCTTTAGTGATTTTCCTAAGCTTATAATGCTGGGGAGTGGTGGCACTAGAATTTGAACCCAGGCTGTGTGACTCTATCATGGTGAGGGGTCTTAGAAAACAAATGCGGGAAAGGGGAGGTGAAGAACAGGAGGAAATGTAGTCTGCAGAGCCTGGCAAAGTTATTTGAAGTACCTATGTGAAGGGCCAATGGGCTTTTATGGTATTGCAAAGAGAAGCAACAAGTGGACATTTCACAAAGGAGCACTTTTTTATAGCAAGAACTATCTCTACAGACTAGAGAAGGCCAGGAACGCAGGAGCACACCCAGCCCTAGAAAGCCAGGTAAGCCAGAGGGTCCTCTGACTAGCCCTCATGGCAGGCTGCAGGCAACGGGGTGTTGTTAGTGGTCTCATCTTATGAGGAGAAAACACACCTCTAGGTGATCAAGACTTCAGTGTCTTCAGTTTCCGCTCTTTCTCAACGACAGATAGCTAAAAGACCTTACCCCTTCCTCCTCGTGCCAAGTGACCTGCAGGGGAGCCCTGCCTGGCTTCACTGTCCTCCTGTGGCTGCAATCCCAGGCCAGCAGGAAGCCTGAGCTTGCCAAACTGCGTGGGTCAGGGCAGGAGGAAGGAGAGCGGGAGTAGCCCATCTGAGTTCTCTTTTGCCCTTTCCTGCAGCCTTGCTACTGCAGCCCAGTGGTGTAGAGAACTAGGAAACAGGTGAAACTGAACCATTAAAGAAGGGTGACTAATATATGTTAGTTGCACTTTGGTAAAGATGTCTTCATCTGCAAAACCATCAGGGAATCCATTCTTGAAGTTGGGACTCCATTCTGAGTACAACCTTGGTTAAGTCTGTTAACATTTTTTATACCTCAATTTCTTTATCTGTGAAATGGTTGTATGACAACATTTCCTATTTTATCAACCTCAAATGATGTAGTGCCTATATGATCAACAAGCTAGTGTGAGAGTAGAGGCCACAGGCAGTCGTCAGACTATTCTCTGCAATTTTCCATTATCTGCAATTTTCTAGTTAGAAACTTGGAAAAAATTACCCAAGCTCTCTCTGCTTTAGTTTCTTCATCAGTGAAAATGAGGGTAGCAATAGCACTTGCCTTTAATGATTGTTTTCAGGGGTAAATGAGATAATACATGTAACTGGTTGAACCAGGACTCCAACGGCCACTCCAAAGCTACATTACAGTTGCCTCACAACCATAATGCATACAAATCAACATCAGAGCATAGAGAAAAGATTCAAAACAAATTGTTAACAGTGTTTATTTCTGGATGGTGAGATTATGATCTGTTTGTTTTTCCTTCTTTGTGTTTTTCTGTATTTTCGAACTTACTTTAATAATCAAAAGAAAAGCTGTGTATGATGTTCAGATGCCTTGAGATCATTTATGATGGTCTCCACTGCATTAAAATCTTTGACAATATTTTCTCACACAATCTTCTCAGCAACTGCTTGAAGTAGGCATCATTATCCCCATTTTCTAGATGAGGAAACAAGGCTGGTAGAGGTCAGAGAGCTGGTTTAATCTTCAGATCTTATTACTGCTAAGTGGCAGACAGCCAAGATCCATAGGCAGAGCTGGCTGTCTTAAAGATAGGTGCTGTCCACAGGCATGCAGGACTGTGGAGCTCAGTGCCCAGGACTCCTCCACCCCAGTCATCAGAAAGCAGGGGCAAGACTGTCAGGATTGGGCCTGTGGTGGGTATGTTCCCACAGATCCCCAGTGACTGGTGTACTGGTTCCCTCCATCCATATTCTGGTGAAGGACATGGCCTGCAGAGTTGGGATTTTTGGCCTCTTCCTCTCACTGCACAGGAAGTCAAGGGGTACTGCAGAGAGTCTTCCCAAGAAGAAACACAGGTTTCCACCATAAAGGTATCCAACAAAGAAACTAAAAATAATAGGATAACCACACAAGATTGAAAGAGGGATGTGGGTGTCAGACACATGATCTATCATAACAGGAAGGCAATAGATAATGGCTGTCCTGCTAAATCCGCATAGATAAGCATTTTAGGTAGAGAAGATGGAGCTGTCACCAGGCTTGAAAACACCAGTGGACATAAGTGGGTTTTCTCCCCATCCAGGGTGAGAGGGAGGCTTTTGCTTTTTCATCATAAGTGCTTCCGTCCTATTTGTTTTATTTTTTTAGCTGCATGTGTTATATTTTATTTAAAAATCATGATTTTAAAAGTACAGGCTGTGGGGTCATTTGTGTGGAATCCCATCCCACCTTTGCCAATTATGGATCTTGGGCAGTTTAGCCTCTCGGAGCTGCAATTTAATCTTCTGGAAAACAGGAATAAAAAGCACTCACTCAGAGGGTTGCTCTGAGGATAAAATGAGGTAATGTATACAGAGTACATGGACCAGCACTGGCTAAAATCCAGCATCTATAATTACTAACCGTTGTTATCATTATTAATAATAGGCCAAGCGTTCAAATAAGACCCTGTGCTTTGCACACAGGCACACAGTAGGCACTCGATGGGTGCCTAAGTAATCGTTCAAAACCCTCAGCAGAGCCTCTAATTTCCACCAGCCGGTGACGCAGGAGCCCCGGCTTAAGTACTGATGTGGTTACTTATTCATCCTTGGCTCTCCACCGCAGCGCCGGCCAAGGGCAGCCCGGCTCTCCCGCCTCCCGCCGCGCAGTCTCGCCGTCCCAGCCCGCCCCTGAAGCGCGCGGAGGCCGCCGGCTCGCTGGTGCGGGGCCGGCACGCGCCGGGGCGGGAGTCAGCTCTGCTTTCGCGCAGCGGCTGCGCCTCCTTCCAGGGCGGGCTGGAGGTCGGGGAGCGCCGCTCGGGACGCAGGCGGCGGCGGGGTCCTGCCCCACCGCCGCCTGCCCGCGCCCGGGGGACGGCCGGCCCAGGAGGGGCGGGCCGGGGCCGTCTTAGGGCAGGGCTTTCGAAGCGGGGACATCGCAGAGGAAGATTTGGGATTGGCCGGGAGGCGCGGAGCGGGCTTTTCAGACCGGGCAGAGGGTGCCGGGCTCCCGCACGCGCGGGGGGTTCCGCGGGCGCCGCCAGCCCGGGGCGGAGCCCGCGCGGGAGCCCCGCCCACCCCTCTGCAGAGGCCGCGCGCCCCACCCCTTGGGCCGCGGCGCCCCCTCGAGCTCCCGGCGGCGGTGCGGAGGCCGGGGCCGGGGTCGGGTCGCGGGGCGGGTCGCGGGGCGGGGCGGGGGCGGGGCGCTGACGTCGCGGCGCGGCCGGCGGCCGGGAGGCGGGAGGCGGGGAGGCGGGGAGGCGGGGAGGCGGCTGCCGGCTCGGCTCCGCTCGGCTCGGCTCGGCCCAGCCCATCCCGCAGCTGCGGCGGCCCGGTGCCCGCGTTGGAGGCCCGCTCCTGCCGGCCGTGGTCCGCCGCCGCCTCCTCCGCCATGGCCCTGGTGCGGGGCGCCGAGCCGGCGCCGGGGCCCTCCCGCTGGCTGCCCACGCACGTCCAGGTGACGGTGTTGCGGGCCCGCGGGCTGCGGGGCAAGAGCTCGGGAGCGGGCAGCACCAGCGACGCGTACACGGTGATCCAGGTGGGCCGCGAGAAGTACAGCACGTCGGTGGTGGAGAAGACCCCGGGCTGCCCCGAGTGGCGCGAGGAGTGCTCTTTCGAGCTGCCGCCCGGGGCCCTGGACGGCCTGCTGCGGGCGCAGGAGGCCGATGCGGGCTCGGCTCCCTGGGCCGCGGGCTCCGCCGCCGCCTGCGAGCTGGTGCTCACCACCATGCACCGCTCGCTCATCGGCGTCGACAAGTTCCTGGGCCAGGCCACGGTGGCGCTGGACGAGGTCTTCGGCGCAGGCCGCGCCCAGCATACGCAGTGAGTGGGGGGCCCGAGGGCGCGGAAACGGTTAAGGCAGAGCTCGCCGGGCGGGGCTGGCGGGGGAGCGGGACCCCGAACCTCGAACCTCGGCCGCCGCTGCGCCTTTCGCCGCGCGCTCAAGGGCGTAAACCGACAAATTGCCCTTTTTGCATTTGGGGTCCGCTTCTTCTTCTTCTTCTTCTTTTTTTTATAAATTTATTTTTTATTGGTGTTCAATTTGCCAACATATAGAATAACACCCAGTGCCCATCCCATCAAGTGCCCCCCTCAGTGCCCGCCACCCAGTCACTCCCACCCCCCGCCCACCTCCCCTTCCGCCACCCCTAGTTCGTTTTTTGGGTCCCCTTCTGATCCCCGTCCTTGCGACTGTCTGTGCTTGGCTGCTGGTGTGTCCTTGTGTAGCCTAGGGGGAGGTATGATTCGTGGCCCAGCCCTAGGAGTAGATTGCCAAGTGAAGTTAGGAGTGGGATCCAGAGGCCCTTAACTGTGGGAACCTCAAGAAGGAAAATTTGGGCCATTTTTAGGGCCATTTTTAGGGCCTGTCTCCCTTTCCTGGAAGGAGAGGGGCCCTGCAGCCTTCTGTCCCAAGCCAGGCCCACAGGGCAGTGGAGAGGTGCTGCCTAGCCCTGTGGGGGAAGGAAGGTTCAGTGTTCTGCTTGAAGGTGAGATTGACCGGACATGCCCCACCAGATCTACAGACTGCAGAGGGTATCTGCTTCTTGCCTCCTATTTGGATGCCCTCTGCCGCCTAGAGACAGAAGCCTCTGGAACCCAGCACCTCTGTATCCCTGTTCTGAAAGCAAGAGAACCTCCAAACTGAAGGAAGGAAACCCTTTAGTCAGCCTTCAAATGTCCTGCCTGTCCTGCTTGAGGTGAAGGCAGCTTCATGGTTAATGCACAGCAGGAGATAATCTCCAGCCACTTCCACCCAGAAGGGCCTGTGCATTTTTTAATCATTTATTTTGGCAGTGTTTAACCTTGCCGGTGTTAAGATCAAGGCTTCAGACTTGGAGCCCCATTTCCTGTTTGGACTTGGGCAGGATCTGAAAGCCAGTGCCCATGGCTGACCATCTGCTGTGGACCATCTAAGGGGTTAACCAAGGTGACATGTCCCCTGGACCCAATGGGCCCTGGATGGGGAGCATAAGGGGATGGGGGCAGGGGTGTGCCCTAGGTGGGGACAAGTGCCAAAAAGGTTTGCCCATGTGGAATGGCATCTAAATGAGTAAATCTAGGAGAGCTTGTTGATAGAGAGGGATGAGACTGATGCAGACCCATGTGAGAGCAGGATTTGGTTAGAAAGGATCTGACCTTGAACGTTTTTCAGAATATGTAGGAAAGGGCCTTCACAGCTCTGCGCTGTTTGGTTGCTGGGTGTGGAATCATGTGGTATAGTTTGGCCGTTGTTTTGTTTTTTTCCTCCCCTTTTCTGTCCTCTCCTTCCTTTCTGGCCGGGGGTGGGGCAGAAAGATCTCTGGATCTCTTAGCCCTGTCTTTTCCTGAAGAGGCTCCTGTCCCCCAATTCTTTCCACCCCTTTCTTTCCTAGTCTTTCAGTTTTCATCACTCGACTAATCTGACCAGACTGGTAGATGATGACATACCTGGTGGCAGGGGGCAATGGGGAGACAGAAAGTCTCTGGGTTTGTGGGGGAAAGGCCTCTGTGAAGCCAGTGACTTAGGGTGAGGGGAGCTTTGATTTTTTTAAAATTTCTGCCCTTGCTTTCTTCTTGGCCTTTGGATCTTCCTGAGCTGAACTGCCTGCACTTGTAGGTCCAGGTGGGGGCCTGTTTTCGGCCAAGGACAGGCCCTCTTGGAGAATTCGACTTGCTACCCCTTGATCTGAGTGGGAGCCTTAATTTACTTGATAGAAGTCATCTTTCCCACCAGGATCTTTCCTTACCTACCCACTGCTCTTCTTCTGTTGGGTTGACCTGGGTTATAGATAGAACCTGGAGAGGGCAGGAGAGGCGAGGGGCACTCCTGTTGGGCAGAGGAGAAGTCTTTGAAGTCTGCTTGGTCTTCTAGTTCACCAGACCTAACGGCGTACCTACTGACAGGGCGAGGGCTGCTGCTCCCACTCGGGTCCCCATCTCCCACCTCTGATTTTAATGGCCACTCCTGGTGGTGTTTCCTGAGAGCACCCTGGCATGAGCTGCTAAGATAGTGAGTCTGCACATTTCCTAGTGGAGAGAGGGCAAGATGGGGAGGACCAGGGTATGCCCTCCTCAGCTTTGGATAGCAGTGGGAAAGAACAGTATCCACTCTAATACCATGAGCCAGCTGTGGTGGTCTCAGGGAAGACAGATGGCAGCCTTGTGTCACCAAGACAGAATCTGACTGGGGAAGGGCTGCTTCATGGTTATGAGGAGGGGACTGTGGAGTTGCAAGAAATAGATCCCAGTCTCAAACTTGCCACCTTATGGTGAGTCAAGTAAATAAACTCTTGGTCCTCAGTTTTCTCATCTGTAAAATGGGGCTAGTGTTATAAGATTGATGTAAGGTCTGAAATGAGAATGCAATTAAAGCACCTAATGTAGTGCCTAGACGTGGCTGCTGGTCAGGAACAGCAGTGATAATGGAGGGAGGCTTTGATTACAGTGTCTGGTAGCTCTGGTGTGACAGATGTCCCCTGCCCTTGAAGAGCCTCTCATGTGATGGGCAGCGAGAGGTGGGTGGGGCGACAATACAGAATTTAGAGACGGAGCCTGAGAAAGCCCCAGGACTGCTGGTGACAGGGTACATACCAGAATGTGAGAGCTCCTCATGAAATAGGCCCTTTGCAGGCCTCCATTTTCTTTGCTGCTAGAAGTTTGAAAACTAGGGCTGGGCTTGGGAGGCCTCAGCAGTGCTCAAGCCAGGCTCAGATGCACTTGCAGCCCTCCCCCAGCAGCCTTGGCTGAAGCTGCCCCTGCCCTCTGGGGTAGGTAGGACAGCACAGTGTCTCAGAACCTAGACACGGCTTTCATTCCCAGTTCTGTGGCTTACTAGCAGGCAAGTTACTTAACCTGTTTCCTTTTTTCTACAAAGATCACAATAATAGTTATGGAATTTTAAGATTAAATAAGACCATGTCTATAAAGACCTTCGTATAGTTCCAGGCCAAAGGAAGCCTTTAAAGTATGGGTGTTGTGGTTACTCTGAGTACCCTGCTTTGTGTGATGATGGTGTGGGGGTGGTGGTGGGAGGTGCCTCAACTGCCCCTGATGCTCCTTTGTCAAGAGGTGCTCTCTGAGGTGAGGGATTTCACCAGAGGCTTCCAAATAACTGAAGAGGAAATTCTCAAAACAAAATTTATTATTATTTTTTTTATTATTTTAATTTTTTATTTATTTATTTATGATAGTCACAGAGAGAGAGAGAGAGAGAGAGAGAGAGAGAGGCAGAGACATGGGCAGAGGGAGAAGCAGGCTCCGTGCACCGGGAGCCCGACTTGGGATTCGATCCCGGGTCTCCAGGATCGCGCCCTGGGCCAAAGGCAGGCGCTAAACCGCTGCGCCACCCAGGGATCCCTCAAAACAAAATTTAACATAATACCTGAGCAAACTGATTATAATCCTCTCCCCTCAGTAAATCCATACATGGATCATCACAAGTCTGAAAATCCTGAGACGCTTCTCCACTGTTACCTTTCTGATTTCTATCAGTGGGCACCGTGTGTGGAGTGGGTGTTATGTGTGGAGGAAAAGAGTGCCTGCTGTGAAGAACCTCCATCCTGGGCCCATCAAATCGATGGTTAGAGCCTGGCCCCTTGGGAAGCCTGAGTCTGGGCTTAATTTGGGTTGGGATCGATTTGTCCTTTTTCATCCCATAGAGTAAAACTGTTGGGGCCAGGGCCAGGCTGCTAACTGTGGCACCCTGAGAGGCTTTGTTGGCCCTGGTCAGACCTGTGCCATTGCTTTTATAGAGGGCTTCCAGGAGGCCTGTGGCTCAGGACCACCTAGGTTTGAGACTAGTGTACTGCCTGAGATCCCCTGGAGGATAGGGAGTTTAGGGACACTGGGAGAGGCTCCGGAGGGAAAATACAGCCTGTTGGCCTAGGATTGGGATGATTTTTGAGGGCTTCTATTCATCTCTCAGCCTCCAGACTACTTGACATTCCTGTGCACGTAATCCCACAGCCTCTCTCCACTGGTTTCCAGGTGTGACTGCTCCTCAGGAGGTGGCTGAGGCCATAGGGTTCTTGGTCCAACCTTAAGGCTCAGCTTCTGCTCCAACCCCAGACTTGTGGGCTGCTGGGAAAGTCTGCTTTGGCTGTGGGTGGGGGGTGGGGAGGAAAGGTATGGCCATATTTAAAAGTCAGTCATTAGGATTCAGGAGGCTCCAGCTCCCTTAGTTATGGAGTAGTTTTTATTTGGGGTTGCTTGAGCCGCAGTGCCTGGAGGACAGGGAGGGGTAGGAAGTGACTCCTCCATCAGACTGGGCGGCTCCTGGTTGGCACAGAGCTTTCTCTTCCTTCTGCATCTGGCCCTGGGTGAGAACCCTGTCTCTGCCCTACTGTCCTCTCCCTGTAGCCATCCAGGAACCTCAGCAGATCCTCTACCCCAGGGGACCATGAGGACTGTCCTTTCCTCTGATGGGGGCTGGCCACTCCACTTGTTATTGCTGCTCCCCTGGTGCTGTGACACTCTTGCTGATGCTAAATGACTGGTCTGGCCTTGTCCAGATGTTTCCCCTGCCCTTCCCACCCTGTGCTGGGACAGATAATTAACACAATGACAGGAGCTCTCTGTGCTCCCTGGGAATCAGTACTCTATCTCTGCAAAATGGTGTAGTCATGAAGAAGCTTTGCCCTTTTCCAAGCCAAGTAAAAAAAAAAAAAAAAAAAAAATCCGCAATGTAAGGTCCTTTATACACAGGGTAGTCCTGCCGGGAAGAGTCGAATGACTTTGCTCTCACTGAGCTGGCCAAGAACCCCTTAGGTTATTGCTACCCTCAGGAAGGATGGCAGCTGGTGAGGATAGCTGAGCCTGGCAGGTGAGGCTGAGGCCTGAGAGTG